CCAAAACTTGTGGAGTACAGCAAAAGCAGTACTAAGAGGGAAACTTATTGCAATAAATGCTTGCATCAAAAAATAGACAGACTTCAAATAAACAACCTGAAGTTACCCCTCACAAAACTAGAAAAACGAGAACAATCTAATCCCAAAATTAGTAGATGAAAAGAAATAATTAAGATCAGAGCAGAACTAAATGAAAGTGAGATCAAAACAACAGTACAAAAGATCAATGAAACAAAAAGTTGGCTCTTTGAGAAGATAAACAAAATATACAAAGTGTTATCTAGGCTAACTGAAAAGAAAGAAGAGAAAGAAGAGAGAAGATCCAGGTAACAAAAATCAGAAATGAAAAAGGAGATATTACAACTGATACCACAGAAATAAAAATAATCATTACTGACTATTATAAACAAATACATGCAAACAAATTTGAAAACCTGGAACAAATGGATAAATTTCTGGATCCACACGAAGTACCAAGACTGAAGCAAGAAGAAACAGAAGACTTGAGCAGACCAATAACTAGCAACAAGATTAAAGCAGTAATTAGCAATCTCTCAACAAAGAAAAGCCCAGCACTGGATGGCTTCACTGCTGAATTCTACTAAAGCATTAAAGAACAATTAATGTCTATCTTTTTCAAACCATTCCAAAAAATTGAAACAGAGGCCTTTTTCCCAAACCCATTCTATGAGGCTAGTATCACCCGATACCAAGACCAGACAAAAATACAACAAAAAAGAAAACTACAGCCAATATCCTTGTTGAACACAGATTCAAAACTCCTCAACAAAATATTAGTAGACAAAATACAGCACCACATCAACAAAATCAAGGACAAAAACCATATGATTATCTCAATAGACACAGAAACCCCTCCCAGGCAGGCAGAAAACCCATGTACCTGCTACTGCTGCCACAAAATGACAAAGCTCAAAGACAAAGAAAGAATCCTAAAAGCTGCGAGAGAAAAGCATCAAGTCACTTATAAGAATGCCCCCATCAAACTTACAGCAGACTTCACAACTGAAACTCTACAGGCTAGAAGAAAATGGGATGACACAAGCAAAATAATAAAAGAGAAATACTACCAGCAAAGAATACAATACCAAGCAAGAGTATCCTTCAGAAATGAGGGAGAAATAGTATATTTTCCAGACAAACAGAAACTGTGGGAGTTCATCACCATATGACCAGCCCTGCAAGATATTCTCAAGGAAGTCCTGCATCTGCAATTTGAAAAACAATAATCACTACTATGAATACACAAGAAACAACAAAACCCACTTGTAAAACACAAATGCAAGTGATAAAGATAAAGGAAACTAAATCTTACTACCCCTCCAAAAACCAACAAATTTTGAAGATGAACAATAAAAGGGGAAGAAGGGGAAAAAAAGATACTTAAAACATCTAAACAGAAATTGACAAAATGCCAGGAGTAAGAAAATACCTCTCAATAACCTCCCTAAATGTAAATGGATCAAACTCCCCATTCAAAAGACACAAACTGACAGATTGGATTAAATAGCTGGAGCCAAGTATATGCTGTCTTCAAGAGACTCACTTCACCTGTAAAGACTCACACAGACTAATACTGAAGGGATAGAAAAAGATATACCATACAAATAGATACCAAAAACTAGGAGAAAGAGCTATTCTTTTATCAGATAAAGTAGATGTTAAACCAAAAACCATAAAGAAACAAAGAAGGCCATTATATAATGAGAAAGGATTCTGTCAAGTAAGACATAACAATCATAAACATATATGCACCCAACAATGGAGCACCCAGATATGTTAAGCAAACACTGTTGGACCTAAAGAAAGAGAAAGACCCCAATACAATCAAAGTGGGGAAACTGAACACCCATCTCTCATTAGACAGATCATCTAGGCAACAAATTAATGGAGAAACACAAGATTTAAACTACACTTTAGACCAATTGGACCTGGCAGATATCTACAGAACATTTTATCCATCAATTACAGAGTATACATTCTTCTCATCAGCACCTGGAACATTATGTAAGATAGACTACATGCTAGTTCACAGAGCAAGTCTCAATAACTTTGAAAAGACTGAAATCATCTCGAATATCTTTTCAGACAACAACAGATTAAATTGAGATATTAATAACAAGTGAAACTCAGGACTCTATACAAATACATGGAAATTAAACTACAAGCTCCTGGGCCAGCCCGGTGGCGCACTGGAGAGTGTGCCACTTGGGAGCGTGGTGGCGCTCCCGCCGAGGGTTCGGATCCCATGTGGAGACCGGTTCCCGCTCACTGGCTGAGCGTGGTGCAGGCGCAACACTGAGGGTTGCGATCCCGTTGCCGGTCCCCAGTACGGGCACGACACCGAGGGTTGCGATCCCGTTACCGGTCAGTAAAAAAAAAAAAAAAAAAAAAAAAAAAAAAAA